ATACGCGGAGTCCACTATTCGGAGTGGCGTCAGCGCTCCATTTCACGCCTATCTGCTTCCGTGGAGGTGGTGCTAGTGATGGATTGGTTGCAACGCAGGTTTTATGACTTCTAGGAAAGCCATAGGCCATGAGGACTTGTATACCGGTAGAGTACCGTTGTCCTCCCATCCTCATAAGAGCAAATATCTCCTGCTCTTGAGGGTATTTGGCATTTTCATGTTGTTCCTTCGCATAGTGGTAACTCCTTCCCACTAGCTGGAAATCATAGTATTGTGCATGGCCGGGACTTATGTGATCGTACTGGAATATAATCCAGCGTTATCTCCATTGAGCGGAGAATCATCCATCAAGGTTTGGATATGACTGTTGTGTCGAGTCTTCTGCTGCGGTGGCGACAGCAATTGCGACAATGGCGATGGCGGCTGCTTCTGCAGAGAATTCTCTTAACTCGTAATGGTTGAAGGAGAACCCATCAACTCCCTCTTCCCTGTAGAGTGTTCCTGATGGGTGTAACAGGTGTAACTACCAGGAATACGTGCACATTAGTCCACATGTGTTGCTCCATTGCTGTCGATGATTGTTTCATTTGAGGGTATGAAGAGATTTTTGCTTCTCCCCTCAATGTATCCACGGGTAGCAATTCCTAGTATGCTCATCCGTGCCTCCGATGTACGGTCGATAGAGCGCGTGATCGTATTGTAGTAGTCTGCGTCTCCCTCATATGTTGATACCTCGTGTTGCTTGGCATTCTCCTACATCGTCGAAGTTACGCTGATGCTTGTAATGCTTCGGCTTCTAGTAGAATCGCCTCCAATGCATGTGCCGTAGGGTCGCTAGTGAACGAATACTTGCCGGACCAGAGGTTAATTACTCCTCAATCTATCAAGCGTCGTGACATGCATGGAAATTTTTCCACGCAGGTCATTAACACCTGGAATCGCGACGCATGATTGGTGTGTCGCCTCGTGAGGTTGATGTGAGACTGCTCCAATCAATCACTTCGGATGGCTGAGATTCTTGATGAAGATGAATCGATCAGCTCCTGTTACGAAGTAGTTTCTCGCTGGCCTTGACGAGACGGGTTCACTGCGTCGTCGTTGCATGCGAAATCTTCTCCTTCTCACCAACTTGAACTTGGGAGAATTGCAAGAGAAAATGGCTACTTCTTTGCAATCCCATATGTTGTCGATCAATTTGTATGAAAAAGTGTCTCGTGGATGGAGAACATGTCTTCACGCAGCTGCACTGTTATTCCAGGATGAAGATCCGCTGTGTTGATGTCGATCCATTTTTAAACGAAGATGACTTCGTCAAAATAAATCGATCGGTATCGACACTAGTTAGAAGATGCGTCGATTGTGCAGTCGTTGGTCACGAATGTTGTCTTCATGATGATGCTATTTTGTAGTGTAGTCTCTGCTGCATTCGTTCCCTTGATTCTGCACCGATCCGACAATCCACGTTCTCCTGTCAGTTTTCTGCTTGCAACTATTACCACGTAGGTAAATTTTTGACAGATTTCTGACTCTGTAGATGATCTGCGCGCCAAATTCTAGACCAAATGGAGGAAATCGATTTTGGTTGTCCAGATGAAATGAACGGTGTCGAAGGTGGCTGATTTTTGGTTCTGCGCGTCATTCTCCCTTTGTGCATAAGTCGCGCTCCATCTTGTTCGTTGAAGCAGAAGTAGATCCGACGGTCAAAACTCCAAGCGATCTGAAGATCTTCCTGAGTCGCGTTCAGCAGCTTTCGGTGCCTGGTTTGACTCGTTTCCTGCAGCAATTCTCGGTCGTCATTGTCGGCTGTCGAACGATCGGACACTCCAAAGAATTTTGCAGTTTGCGAGGTCCCGTTATCATTCGTGCCGAAACTCGAACTCGCTCATCATGATTTCGTTTCGCCTCGGTCAATCTGAAGCGTCGAATCTCTATCGGACGAGTGTCGTTGGTCGCAGCTCCGCACATTCCGGCGCAACTCCAAGAGTCGTGGCAAACTGCGAACTTCTCGGAATGTCGTAGGGAGTGTTCCGCTATAACTGACGCGTTCGTGAGATCAAGGCAATTTGCCCCCGCGAAAAATCGGCTCTGTCGATGCAGTCCATTGAACGGTTGGTGAGGCGTCTCGCCTTCAAAGGGGACCCCAGGTGCAACTGCGCGAGTTTAGTCGAAACTCAATTGAAAGTGTATTGTATTTACAGGAATTGAAGTTTCGACTCCATCCTCGGTGCGCTCTTGGGGCCCCAGCGGTTAAGCGTTGATCTGAAACCTTTGGCTCTGATTACCAAGTGTCACAGGATCGAATGAGGTTTGCTCAATCTTCAACTATCAATCAGTATAAGGTGCTTTTATACTTCCATAGTACATCGGGTAACCTGGTATATCCAAAGAGAATAGACCCTTCTAGAAATAGAATCACCCTGCGTATAGCCACCCAAGGCTATTGGCTTTAAGGGATTACGGTAGGATAACACTAGATATAGCGCGCCGGTACATCCCGAGCCTGGTCGGTGATATAATGATAATAATAGGGTAAACCAAATGATTATGGAAAAGGATGAATAGGAAACCAAATGAGATGAGATAAAGAGCAAATGAATCTGGAGTGAAAGAGGAAAGAAATAGAAAGGAAATATGGAAACGGAAAATTGGTGTAACGGGGTCGTACTCTCACAGCCGTCGGAGCAGCCGTCATCGCTGCTGCAGCCCCAGCAGCAGTCGCCACCGCCGCAACAGCAGTCGTCGATGGGATCCGCGAGGTCTGGGGGTGCGGGCGTTGAGGTGGGAGCTCGTCCCGGGGTTACTGTCGTTGCTTGTCCCAGCGGTCCTGGGGGTGGCACCGGTGCTGGAGAGGGTTCTCGTTCTGGGGGTGTTGTCGTGGAGCGTCCCGGAGGTAGCCGAGGTATAGTTGGAGGTTCTGGTGTTGGCGTGGAGCAGCAGCAACAACAATCACTGTCTCTGTCTGCCCTTTGCCTCCTCTGTCTTCCCTCCTCTGATTGCCTGCTTGCGCCTCCCCCGCCTGTCTACAGTCCTGTGTTTCCTCTAACGGACTCGTCTCCGGCTCGTTTTCCCCCACGTTCTCCTCCTGTGTCTCCTCCTGTGTCTCCTCCTGTATCTCTGAACCCCACGCCTCCGTCCCACTTTTGGTCTCGCCGTCCCTCTCGTGCTCGTCCTATCTCTTCTATCCAGCGCTCTCACCCTATATTGCTTCGTTCCCACGCGTCTCGTCCTCCCCTCCTCCCGTCGCCTCCTCCATCCTCACTAGTTGTCACTCTGCCTCCCTTGTCTGACTTCCTCCATGCCGCTAGTCCTCTTGTTCCTCGGGTCCTCGCCTCTCTTGTTACGGACCTGTCTGCTCCTGTCTCCAGTCTTGACACTCTTGTCGCTGCAGTCACTGACTGTGCCTCTACCCGCCGCCTTGACTATGCCACCGCTCTGGTCTCTGAATTGCGCGTCCTCCGTCCGTCGAGGTTGCTTCTGCCCTTGGCAGTGACGTCCTGGAGGACCGGCAGTACAAGCTTGCTTTCTTGTCCGAGGCCACGCCTCATCTCCGCTCCATGCTGCTAGTCCCTGAGGGTGACCCAGACGCCTTTGACATCCAGAGGACCAGCATAAGCAGAGACCAGAGCGGCAGCGTAGTCAAGGTGGTGGCTAGCAGCAAAGTCAGCGACTGCAGCGATAAGCGCAGAGGCAGACTAAGGAGGAACAGTAGGGTCAGTGACAAGCGACGCAAGCAAGCGCGAGAGGGTAGGACGAGCACTGCGAGCAGCTTCGGAGCGAGGAGGGGGGGAAGACGGGAGTGACGACAGGGGAGACAATGGGAGGACTGTGACTGGAAGAGCACACGAACGAAGGACCATAGGGTGGACACTAGGACGGGGAGAGAGAGAACGAGCACAAGGGGTGACGGACCCAGTGGGGAAGAGCTGGGGACTTGGGACGAGGAGGAATGGGGGAAAGTCAGGGGACGGAGGGGAGCGCGAGGGAAAACGAGCCGGAGAGGAGTCCGGAGGAGCAAACAATGGGTCGTAAACAGGGTCACGCAACGGAGGGGGAATGGGCGAGCGGGCAGGGGAACTTGGAGAAAGACCAAGAAGACAAAGGGCAGACTGCTGCTGCTCCTGCTGCAACGGTTGCGCCTACTGCTGCGGCTACTGCTGCTGCTGCTGATGCGTTTACAACGGCTCCCTGTCCTCTCCAGGACCACCAGCGGCTTCGCGGCTGGCACCAGCACGCCACGAAATAGCACCCCCAGCACCTCTTCTTTTGAGTCGACTCAAAAGCGCTTTCCGTTACCTCTTCCTTTGAGTCGACTCAAAAGCGCTTTCCGTTACCTCTTCCTTTGAGTCGACTCAAAAGCGCTTTCCGTTACCTCTTCTTTTGAGTCGACTCAAAAGCGCTTTCTGTTACCTCTTCCTTTGAGTCAACTTCGCACCCTCAGAGCTCGCACCTCCAGAAGCAGCACTCCCAACACCAACTCCACCAACACCCCCAACACCAGAACCCCCAGAATGAGCACCCCCATAACCCACTGCTCCCTGTTGCTGCTGTGGCCGCTGAGTCGGCTACAGCGATGGCTGCTGCTGCTGGGGCAAGGGAGGAGGTGGCTGAGGTGCCTCGGGTACAGAGGCTAGGGGAGGCGCCGCCGGGTCAGCAGGCGCGCCTCCAGCATCTGGGCCCCCAGAGTCAGCCGACTCCCCCACAGGTGCAACCGAGGGGAACTGAGTGGCATGGGAGACACCAGACTGGGCCGGGCGGCGCACGAGGGGTGCGACTGTTATAATCACAATAGGCTTAGATGTGCCTATAATGAGAGATAGAGAGCACAGTCGGATTTCCGTCAGACGGCTTCAAATATTGATTACGATCTGGTCACTGAATCAAACGGTGATCTGTAAGTTGGATCTGGAGTGCGTTGTTGTCGTCTATGAGCAGCAAGTTGAATCATGAAATTCCATGAAGATTTGACGACGCTATGGCGGTTTGACTGGCAGGAGGTATAGCAGCCACTATAGTCTTAGGAGTACAAACTTAGCAAGAAGAGTTCGAGAGGGAGATGGTTCCCAGCCTCTACATACCCCCAGAGCCGAGGTCCAGGTTGGTGGTACACCACCACAGAGTCCCCAACCATGAAGAGTCTCGAAACCAACCCTCCAAGGGGCTACACCAAGTGAAATGTAACACTACACGAAGTAGCGTTACTATTTTCACTATTTAATATTTATCCGCGTCCCTTGGGCTTGAAATCTTGAGCTCTTGTTCTTGGATCTGCAAGATAAATTCTTCTTGAGTTGATGGGGGCTTGCTGCACACACCTGCGACACGATGGACACTTCACACTCGACAAAATAGAAAAAACACATGCGACACACAAACGACGACTTGACATGCGAGTTGTAGAAACTCGCTAATGTCTTGACCGACACAAACCACATTGTGATACACCATTCAAACACACACACAAGCACTGGATAGCAATGACATAGACTCACAATTCATTCCATGCCATGCATGCACACACACAAACAAGGACGACAAGCCGAGTGCAAGCCATAGGGTTGCACCAACAAACTCCTCCTCGGATTGTTGGCCTTAGAATCTGCTCCCCTTAGTTCAGAGCCATCCCAGCAAGCTTGCAACACTTCCAATGCTGCTGCTCAACCAGCCTCTTGGTCATCATATCAGCAGGCTACGCCGTCGTCTTCACGTAGTGCAACTCCACTTCACCCGCGGTTACCATGCTCCTCACCCAATGCCACTTCACCTTCATGTGCTTGGTAAGGCCATGAAGAACGGGTTCTTAGCCAATGCAATAGCACCTTGGCTATCACAGTAGAGTGGGGTTGGTCCTTGCTGCTCCTCCCCCAATTCAGCTAGCAAACGCCGCTGCCACACAACCTCTCTTATGGCACGGAAGAGTGCCATGTACTCGGACTCCACCGAGCTCAATGCTTGGTCCACTTGCTTCTTGCTCTCCCAAGCTGTTGGGCCTCCACCAACACAGCAGATGAAGCCTCCCACACTTGTCATGTCCTCTGGTTCTGATGCCCAAGATGCATCAGAGAAGGCCGGTGAGAAAGAGCCTCCCGGGTTCGACTCCATCCGCACCCCTTTTGACGCCTTTGTGCCGCCGCGGAGTATTGCAGTCCAACAGTTGCTGTTTGGCCAAGGTACTTGGCCACCCTCTCTCCAGCTGCTACCTGCTCTTCATTAGGGCATTGGACAACCCTAGCCAGCTGCCCGGTAGCAAAGGCTGCATCCGGCCTTGTGTGAACGGCCGCATACATGAGGCTGCCCACCAAGGAGTGAAAACGCCGCCTCTCCTCTTCACCAACACTTTCCTCCGCTGGTCCTTTCACACACTTGAACCCTGAGGGAAGAGGAGTAGCCACATGACCTTCACTCTTCCCAAAGCTTGCAGCCAAGGTCTCCAAGTACTTCTTTTGATGCACTCGCATCCACCGCTTCTCCACATCTCGCTCAATGTGAAGCCCAAGGTAGTAGTTGACGTCACCAAGGGTCTTGCACTTGAACTTGTCTTGAAGCTTCAGCATCACCTCCTTCACAAGGTCAGAGGAGGGTGAGAATATGAGGATGTCATCCACATAAACCACCATGAAGCTCCTCTGCTCCCCCTCGCCAAGCATGAACAAGGATTGATCGGCCGTTGAGGGAGTGAAGCCGATCGCCTCCAAGACTTCCCGCAGCTTGATGTACCATTGCCTAGGGGCTTGCTTGAGGCCATAGAGTGCTTTCTTCAGCTTCCACACTCTGCCACTCCCATCATTGTACCCCTCTGGCTGCTCCATGTAGGTCTCTTCCTCCAAAACGCCATTGAGGAAGGCCGTTACAATGTCCATTTGCTGCACCACCCATCCTTTGATGGCCGCCGCGACGAAGAGAGTTCGAAGGGTTGTACCCTTCACCACAGGGGCATACACTTCATTGTAGTCCTTCTTCTCTTGCTGCTGATACCCCTTGGCTACAAGTCTGCTCTTGTAGCGCTCGATGTTGCCGTCGGCGTCGGTCTTGCGCTTGAAGAGCCACTTGGAAGAGATCGCCTTACGCCCCGGAGGTAGGTTCACCAAGTCAAACGTGTCGTTCTCGATGATGCTCCCCATTTCTTCATCTGAGGCCTTCTTCCACTCCTTCCCATGGGGCCCTCCCAAGCCTCCTTGGGATTTGTAGGCTCCCCCGGCATCTCCACCGGAGAGAAGAAGGCAAAGGCGCACTCCTCGCTTTCATCTTCCGCATCATCGCCTAGCATGAGAGCCGAACCGGTCAAGGTTGAGTTGGCTGGTCCTCCAAGCCGGTCATAGCTCAACCTATTAGGGGGCTGAGTCCTCCTTCTCCCCCTTCCTTCCTCCTCTGCTGCAGGGACTTGAATGCTCTCATGGCGTTGCGGTAAATCTGGTCGGTTCCCACGAGCACTTATAGCACGAGGCGGAAGTGACGGTGCACGCTCATCATCTTGTTGCACCTCCTCCTCCTCCTCATCCCCATTCATTTGAGGAGATTGCCTCGTGATTGTGCTGCTGCTACTCAGCTCCAAGGGCAGCTCCACATGCTCCAAGCCGGTACTCTTCACCTCTCCAAGCCGCACACCAATCTTCGCTTGATTCTCCGCCTTCCACTCCTTGTACGGTAAGTTCTCCATGAACTTGCAATCTCTGCTCACCAAGAACTTCTTGGTAAATGGGTCCCAAAGAAGCCATCCCTTGCTGTTTTGAACCATGCCCAGGTGCACGGCCCATGTTGCCTTGGCATCAAGCTTGTTGTGCCGAAGTTTCTTAGGCACAAGTGCCATGCACATGCACCCGAACACCCGAAGCATATCCACCTTCGGCTTCCTTCCAATCCAATCCACATAGGGCACCCATTTGTCTTCTCCCACGTGAGTCAAGGCTCTGTTTTTGGCCACACAAGCATGCCGCACCGCATCCGGCCAAAATAATTGGGTAGACCGGCTTCAATGAGAAGTCCCCGAGCCGTCTCCGTGAGTGTCCGATTCGCACGCTCGGTGATGCCGTTCATTGCAGGAGAGTTGGGCATGGTGAGAGAGTGCCTTATGCCCTGTTCTTCAGCCAAGTTGAGAAGTCCTTGCTCAGGAACTCTCCCCCACGGTCAATGCGAATCGCCTTCACAAGCCGGTCTTGTTGCCGCTCCACCATCGGCAACCAATCGGTCTTCACCGTTTCAGCTACGTCACTCTTCTTGGGCAGCACATACACCCAAGTCATGCGAGTGTAGACGTCCACAATGGTGAGAAAGTACTCAGCTCCAGCAGCTCCAAGCTTCAAGGGGCCCACCACATCCATCACCACCTCATCAAGTGGTGCCTTCGCCGTTGTCTCCGAGCTATGGAACGGGTAGCGGGTGAACTTGGCTTGCATGCATGTTGGACAGCCAAGCACCTCATTGGGCTCCCCCTTGACACGTATCCCACTGACCATCTCTTGCTTAACTATCTGCTGCAAAATGGGCAATGCCACATGCCCCATTCGCCGATGCAAGGTCAGCCAATCACACTCTCCCGTAGCGGAAGTCGGGTTGGAGAACGCAGCACTCGCAATCGTGCCCCACAAGCTCTCTCCTTGCTCCTTCGCCGCTGCTGCTTTGCTGATCTTAGGCTTCCCCTCCTCATTTCCACCACCTTTGGCTGCTGCACCACTCTCCTTGGGTTCACACGCCTTGCTGGTCTCTCCAAGGTTGCACTCCTTCGAGTCACTCTTGGTGTCACTTTGTTTTCCGTGATCACCGCCACCAACCGCTTCACTCTTGGTGCTGACGCTTGCTGCCACTTGCCTCCCCTTAGGCATGGGGACCACTGGGATTTGCCACATCTCATTGTAGATGTCCCTGTCCTCATGAAGGTCCCAAAGCTTCCGCTCACCAAGCCTCGCGGTATATGTTTTGGAGCCCTTGGAAGATGTGTCCATGCCGGCCTTTTGCAAACGCCGAACAGAGATCAGGTTGGCTGCAAGGTTGGGCACCCAAAGCACGTTCTTGAGGCCCACCATCTTCCCATCAGCACCCTTGAACATGGCCTTGCCCATGCCTTTCACCTCTGCTCGCTGCCCCAAAGCCGATGTAACATGCTTGACCGACGACGGTTCGAGTTCGGTAAGCAAGTCCGCACGAGGTGTCATGCTGTAGGTGGCGCCGCTATCGATCACCCAAAAGTCCAGAGAGTGAAGGGTGACCTTTCCCACAGTTGCTGGCTCCTCAAAGCCATCCACACCTCCTGCTGCAGCTGCCGCTTGTGTGGAGACAAAGAAGAAGTGGCCCGGGTATCGATCTTCACTCGAGTCCTTGTCGTAGTCTCCACCTTTCATGCTTGCCGCTTCGCCTCCATGGCCACCACAGCCTCCACGACCTCTGCCTCTTCCTCCCCTTGCTCCTCTGCCCTCTTGGCCTTGAGAAGGGGTCCATCCATCAGGCAATCTGAAGCAATCTCTCCACATGTGGCCGGTCTTGTGACAAAAGTGGCATTCGCCATCAAATCGACCGCGCCCACGCCCGTAGCCATTGTTGTTGTTGCTGCCATATCCTCCATTACCACGGCCTCCACTGAAGTTACTGCTGCCAAATCTTCCTCCTCGCCCTCTGCCCCTTCCACGGCCGTGCCCACGGCCCATGCTTGCAACTCCGGCACCATCGGGACCCGCCAATTTGCGACGGCGGAAATCTTCTTGTAAGATTTCCCGCTTCACATCTTCGAGTGAGAGACGGGGCAGATCTCGATTAAGGTTGATGATGAGCGAGGACGATGAGTCCGGAAGTAAGGCTAGCAGCTTGGTCTTCTTTTGAAGGTCACTGTAGTTCAGGTCAGCTCCTTCGAGCCGTGTCAATAAGTCGAAGAATTTCTGCACTCCTTCCTCCACTTTCGGTTCGCCTTCGTCAATTCGAAGTGCTGCCATTTGCCGCTCCAAAACCACAGCCACCGCCGCTGTTGCAGGAGCGTGTACACCCTTGAGAGCAGCCCATGCCTTTGGTCCCTTTGCTGGTTCACGCTGAAAAGGCTTGATGTGACGGATTTGGCTGCTCCCCAACGCTTGCCCAAGTAGAAGGTAGCCTTGTACGCTCTTCCGCACCCACGGGCTCTTCTCCGGGTCGTTCTCGGGGCGCTTCTCCGTTCCTTCCATCACCTCCAGCAGATCATAATGGTCAAAGATGTTCTCCATCTTGAAGGACCACTCAGCAAAGTTGTCACCGTTGAACTTGTCAAGGCCAAACACTCTAGGCTCATCCCTAGAGGGTCCAAGGCTAGGTTGCACCGGAGCAACGGGTGGATCTTGGTGTTGACCTTGTGCTTGGGCGTCTTCTCTGCCTCCAACAACTCTGCCACCCCCTTCCTCAGGTCTAGGCATGGTCGAGACGGCTCCAAGGGGCTCTGATACCACTTGTTATAATCACAATAGGCTCAGATGTGCCTATAATGAGAGATAGAGAGCACAGTCGGATTTCCGTCAGACGGCTTCAAATATTGATAACGATCTTCTCGCTGACTGAAACGGTGATCTGTAAATTGGATCTGGAGGGCGTAACTGTCGTCTATCAGCAGCAAGTTGAATCATGAAATTCCATGAAGATTTGACGACGCTATGGCGGTTTGACTGGCAGGAGGTATAGCGGCCACTATAGTCTTAGGACTACAAACTTAGGAAGAAGAGTTCGAGAGGGAGATGGTTCCTAGCCTCTACATACCCCAAGAGCCGAGGTCCAGGTTGGTGGTACACCACCACAGAGTCCCCAACCATGAAGAGTCTCGAAACCAACCCTCCAAGGGGCTACACCAAGTGAAATGTAACACTACACGAAGTAACATTACTATTTTCACTATTTAATATTTATCCGCGTCCCTTGGGCTTGAAATCTTGAGCTCTTGTTCTTGGATCTGCAAGATAAATTCTTTTTGATTTGATTGGGGCTTGCTGCACACACCTGCGACATGATGGACACTTCACACTCGACAAAATAGAAAAAACACATGCGACACACAAACGACGACTTGACATGCGAGTTGTAAAAACTCACTAATGTCTTGACCGACACAAACCACATAGTGACACACCATTCAAACACACACACAAGGACTGGATAGCAATGACATAGACTCACAATTCATTCCATGCCATGCATGCACACACACAAACAAGGACGACAAGCCGAGTGCAAGCCATAGGGTTGCACCAACAAACTCCCCCTCGGATTGTTGGCCTTAGAATCTGCTCCCCTTAGTTCAGAGCCATCCCCGCAAGCTTGCAACACTTCCAATGCTGCTGCTCAACCAGCCTCTTGGTCATCATATCAGCAGGCTACGCCGTCGTCTTCACGTAGTGCAACTCCACTTCACCCGCGGTTACCATGCTCCTCACCCAATGCCACTTCACCTTCATGTGCTTGGTAAGGCCATGAAGAACGGGGTTCTTAGCCAATGCAATAGCACCCTGGCTATCACAGTAGAGTGGGGTAGGTCCTTGCTGCTCCTCCCACAATTCAGCTAGCAAACGCCGCTGCCACACAACCTCTCTTATGGCACGGAAGAGTGCCATGTACTCGGACTCCACCGAGCTCAATGCTTGGTCCACTTGCTTCTTGCTCTCCCAAGCTGTTGGGCCTCCACCAACACAGCAGATGAAGCCTCCCACACTTGTCATGTCCTCTGGTTCTGATGCCCAAGATGCATCAGAGAAGGCCGTGAGAAAGAGCCTCCCGGGTTCGACTCCATCCGCACCCTTTTGACGCCTTTCTGCCGCCGCGGAGTATTGCAGTCCAACAGTTGCTGTTTGGCCAAGGTACTTGGCCACCCTCTCTCCAGCTGCTACCTGCTCTTCATTAGGGCATTGGACAACCCTAGCCAGCTGCCCGGTAGCAAAGGCTGCATCCGGCCTTGTGTGAACGGCCGCATACATGAGGCTGCCCACCAAGGAGTGAAAACGCCGCCTCTCCTCTTCACCAACACTTTCCTCCGCTGGTCCTTTCACACACTTGAACCCTGAGGGAAGAGGAGTAGCCACATGACCTTCACTCTTCCCAAAGCTTGCAGCCAAGGTCTCCAAGTACTTCTTTTGATGCACTCGCATCCACCGCTTCTCCACATCTCGCTCAATGTGAAGCCCAAGGTAGTAGTTGACGTCACCAAGGGTCTTGCACTTGAACTTGTCTTGAAGCTTCAGCATCACCTCCTTCACAAGGTCAGAGGAGGGTGAGAATATGAGGATGTCATCCACATAAACCACCATGAAGCTCCTCTGCTCCCCCTCGCCAAGCATGAACAAGGATTGATCGGCCGTTGAGGGAGTGAAGCCGATCGCCTCCAAGACTTCCCGCAGCTTGATGTACCATTGCCTAGGGGCTTGCTTGAGGCCATAGAGTGCTTTCTTCAGCTTCCACACTCTGCCACTCCCATCATTGTACCCCTCTGGCTGCTCCATGTAGGTCTCTTCCTCCAAAACGCCATTGAGGAAGGCCGTTACAATGTCCATTTGCTGCACCACCCATCCTTTGATGGCCGCCGCGACGAAGAGAGTTCGAAGGGTTGTACCCTTCACCACAGGGGCATACACTTCATTGTAGTCCTTCTTCTCTTGCTGCTGATACCCCTTGGCTACAAGTCTGCTCTTGTAGCGCTCGATGTTGCCGTCGGCGTCGGTCTTGCGCTTGAAGAGCCACTTGGAAGAGATCGCCTTACGCCCCGGAGGTAGGTTCACCAAGTCAAACGTGTCGTTCTCGATGATGCTCCCCATTTCTTCATCTGAGGCCTTCTTCCACTCCTTCCCATGGGGGCCCTCCCAAGCCTCCTTGGGATTTGTAGGCTCCCCCGGCATCTCCACCGGAGAGAAGAAGGCAAAGGCGCACTCCTCGCTTTCATCTTCCGCATCATCGCCTAGCATGAGAGCCGAACCGGTCAAGGTTGAGTTGGCTGGTCCTCCAAGCCGGTCATAGCTCAACCTATTAGGGGGCTGAGTCCTCCTTCTCCCCCTTCCTTCCTCCTCTGCTGCAGGGACTTGAATGCTCTCATGGCGTTGCGGTAAATCTGGTCGGTTCCCACGAGCACTTATAGCACGAGGCGGAAGTGACGGTGCACGCTCATCATCTTGTTGCACCTCCTCCTCCTCCTCATCCCCATTCATTTGAGGAGATTGCCTCGTGATTGTGCTGCTGCTACTCAGCTCCAAGGGCAGCTCCACATGCTCCAAGCCGGTACTCTTCACCTCTCCAAGCCGCACACCAATCTTCGCTTGATTCTCCGCCTTCCACTCCTTGTACGGTAAGTTCTCCATGAACTTGCAATCTCTGCTCACCAAGAACTTCTTGGTAAATGGGTCCCAAAGAAGCCATCCCTTGCTGTTTTGAACCATGCCCAGGTGCACGGCCCATGTTGCCTTGGCATCAAGCTTGTTGTGCCGAAGTTTCTTAGGCACAAGTGCCATGCACATGCACCCGAACACCCGAAGCATATCCACCTTCGGCTTCCTTCCAATCCACTCCACATAGGGCACCCATTTGTCTTCTCCCACGTGAGTCAAGGCTCTGTTTTTGGCCACACAAGCATGCCGCACCGCATCCGGCCAAAAATAATTGGGTAGACCGGCTTCAATGAGAAGTCCCCGAGCCGTCTCCGTGAGTGTCCGATTCGCACGCTCGGTGATGCCGTTCATTGCAGGAGAGTTGGGCATGGTGAGAGAGTGCCTTATGCCCTGTTTCTTCAGCCAAGTTGAGAAGTCCTTGCTCAGGAACTCTCCCCCACGGTCAATGCGAATCGCCTTCACAAGCCGGTCTTGTTGCCGCTCCACCATCGGCAACCAATCGGTCTTCACCGTTTCAGCTACGTCACTCTTCTTGGGCAGCACATACACCCAAGTCATGCGAGTGTAGACGTCCACAATGGTGAGGAAGTACTCAGCTCCAGCAGCTCCAAGCTTCAAGGGGCCCACCACATCCATCACCACCTCATCAAGTGGTGCCTTCGCCGTTGTCTCCGAGCTATGGAACGGGTAGCGGGTGAACTTGGCTTGCATGCATGTTGGACAGCCAAGCACCTCATTGGGCTCCCCCTTGACACGTATCCCACTGACCATCTCTTGCTTAACTATCTGCTGCAAAATGGGCAATGCCACATGCCCCATTCGCCGATGCAAGGTCAGCCAATCACACTCTCCCGTAGCGGAAGTCGGGTTGGAGAACGCAGCACTCGCAATCGTGCCCCACAAGCTCTCTCCTTGCTCCTTCGCCGCTGCTGCTTTGCTGATCTTAGGCTTCCCCTCCTCATTTCCACCACCTTTGGCTGCTGCACCACTCTCCTTGGGTTCACACGCCTTGCTGGTCTCTCCAAGGTTGCACTCCTTCGAGTCACTCTTGGTGTCACTTTGTTTTCCGTGATCACCGCCACCAACCGCTTCACTCTTGGTGCTGACGCTTGCTGCCACTTGCCTCCCCTTAGGCATGGGGACCACTGGGATTTGCCACATCTCATTGTAGATGTCCCTGTCCTCATGAAGGTCCCAAAGCTTCCGCTCACCAAGCCTCGCGGTATATGTTTTGGAGCCCTTGGAAGATGTGTCCATGCCGGCCTTTTGCAAACGCCGAACAGAGATCAGGTTGGCTGCAAGGTTGGGCACCCAAAGCACGTTCTTGAGGCCCACCATCTTCCCATCAGCACCCTTGAACATGGCCTTGCCCATGCCTTTCACCTCTGCTCGCTGCCCCAAAGCCGATGTAACATGCTTGACCGACGACGGTTCGAGTTCGGTAAGCAAGTCCGCACGAGGTGTCATGCTGTAGGTGGCGCCGCTATCGATCACCCAAAAGTCCAGAGAGTGAAGGGTGACCTTTCCCACAGTTGCTGGCTCCTCAAAGCCATCCACACCTCCTGCTGCAGCTGCCGCTTGTGTGGAGACAAAGAAGAAGTGGCCCGGGTATCGATCTTCACTCGAGTCCTTGTCGTAGTCTCCACCTTTCATGCTTGCCGCTTCGCCTCCATGGCCACCACAGCCTCCACGACCTCTGCCTCTTCCTCCCCTTGCTCCTCTGCCCTCTTGGCCTTGAGAAGGGGTCCATCCATCAGGCAATCTGAAGCAATCTCTCCACATGTGGCCGGTCTTGTGACAAAAGTGGCATTCGCCATCAAATCGACCGCGCCCACGCCCGTAGCCATTGTTGTTGTTGCTGCCATATCCTCCATTACCACGGCCTCCACTGAAGTTACTGCTGCCAAATCTTCCTCCTCGCCCTCTGCCCCTTCCACGGCCGTGCCCACGGCCCATGCTTGCAACTCCGGCACCATCGGGACCCGCCAATTTGCGACGGCGGAAATCTTCTTGTAAGATTTCCCGCTTCACATCTTCGAGTGAGAGACGGGGCAGATCTCGATTAAGGTTGATGATGAGCGAGGACGATGAGTCCGGAAGTAAGGCTAGCAGCTTGGTCTTCTTTTGAAGGTCACTGTAGTTCAGGTCAGCTCCTTCGAGCCGTGTCAATAAGTCGAAGAATTTCTGCACTCCTTCCTCCACTTTCGGTTCGCCTTCGTCAATTCGAAGTGCTGCCATTTGCCGCTCCAAAACCACAGCCACCGCCGCTGTTGCAGGAGCGTGTACACCCTTGAGAGCAGCCCATGCCTTTGGTCCCTTTGCTGGTTCACGCTGAAAAGGCTTGATGTGACGGATTTGGCTGCTCCCCAACGCTTGCCCAAGTAGAAGGTAGCCTTGTGCGCTCTTCCGCACCCACGGGCTCTTCTCCGGGTCGTTCTCGGGGCGCTTCTCCGTTCCTTCCATCACCTCCAGCAGATCAGAATGGTCAAAGATGTTCTCCATCTTGAAGGACCACTCAGCAAAGTTGTCACCGTTGAACTTGTCAAGGCCAAACACTCTAGGCTCATCCCTAGAGGGTCCAAGGCTAGGTTGCACCGGAGCAACGGGTGGATCTTGGTGTTGACCTTGTGCTTGGGCGTCTTCTCTGCCTCCAACACCTCTGCCACCCCCTTCCTCAGGTCTAGGCATGGTCGAGACGGCTCCAAGGGGCTCTGATACCACTTGTTATAATCACAATAGGCTCAGATGTGCCTATAATGAGAGATAGAGAGCACAGTCGGATTTCCGTCAGACGGCTTCAAATATTGATAACGATCTGCTCGCTGACTTAAACGGTGATCTGTAAATTGGATCTGGAGGGCGTAACTGTCGTCTATCAGCAACAAGTCGAATCATGAAATTCCATGAAGATTTGACGACGCTATGGCGGTTTGATTGGCAGGAGGTATAGCGGCCACTATAGTCTTAGGACTACAAACTTAGCAAGAAGAGTTCGAGAGGGAGATGGTTCCCAGCCTCTACATACCCCAAGAGCCGAGGTCCAGGTTGGTGGTACACCACCACAGAGTCCCCAACCATGAAGAGTCTCGAAACCAACCCTCCAAGGGGCTACACCAAGTGAAATGTAACACTACACGAAGTGACGTTACTATTTTCACTATTTAATATTTATCCGCGTCCCTTGGGCTTGAAATCTTGAGCTCTTGTTCTTGGATCTGCAAGATAAATTCTTCTTGATTTGATTGGGGCTTGCTGCACACACCTGCGACATGATGGACACTTCACACTCGACAAAATAGAAAAAACACATGCGACACACAAACGACGACTTGACATGCGAGTTGTAAAAACTCACTAATGTCTTGACCGACACAAACCACATAGTGACACACCATTCAAACACACACACAAGGACTGAATAGCAATGACATAGACTCACAATTCATTCCATGCCATGCATGCACACACACAAACAAGGACGACAAGCCGAGTGCAAGCCATAGGGTTGCACCAACACCATCGTGCACGAGGCGACTTCACCCTTCGTGCGCTATATCCCCACCCGCGAACAGCCACGAATATCCCAGTTACAGCATTCGTGCTTTGATACAGTCATGTTCCGCTCCTCACAGCTCAGCACACGATTTGGCCCCAGCGACTCTCCAAGCAGCCCATTCCTGGTTCACCCTTCCAGGGCTCAAATCGTGGAATAATTTCTACACCATATGACATTTGCTCTTTACGCTTACGTTTTTATTTCCCTCAGTTTTTGCTTCCATCCTCTCCAATGGTTAATTGCAAACGGGACCGTTCTTCAACAGACTCGGAACCCTCCTCTCCTCGACCCACTGCCCGAACACAGCCAACACCAGCTGCTGCGATCCCTTCTGCCACGAAAACACACCCATCCCCCACCTCTCGTCGACCTGAAATTGTGCCAACGTCTACTGCACAGCCTCCTCCGCCACCAACCACTTCCTCGTCTCGCCCCCCCACTGCAGCCCGTGTTTCCCAGCAGCAGAAAACGGTTCTTCAACATGTCCTCGCCGGCACCTTGTTTCAAGACCTCCCCTCACGCCAGCCTTCTTCCTCTAATCCGCATCCCTCTCCTCTGCCACACCAGACCCCTCAAGATGCAATTGCCCCAACCACCCTTTCTGAAGACACCCATCCGCTCTCACAGTACACGGACGCCGCACTCCCACCCTCCTCCTCTGCACATCCTACCCCCAAGTTCAACTGCCCCACTTGCCGATGTTCATTCTCGAACCCATTCTGGTGTGGGGATTCCGGCAGTGTGTACGTCTAACGGATGCCCTCCACACAACGGAACTGTCCTAGAAGGCCAGAGGCAAACTCGCCACCACGATCAGAGTGTAAGCGAACTACCGGTAGGCGGTAGTGGGCACGTACAACAAGAAGCCATGGGAAGAGGACGGTAGGCACGTCGGCCTTCCGTTCCAACGGGAACACTATGGTGACGAGACCGCGAGAAGGACAGCGGGTACGTCGGCCTTCCGCAAGAAGTCGTCAATGACGACTAGAAAGTACACTCTCGACTAAGACCATGGACCGGGGAAGGGCCCGAGACGTCCATCTTCAGTGTCTGTAGTGGCGCTATGGTAGGAGGAAATGAGGAGTGAGGGGTGGCACACTGCCGGCCCTCGACGCAGGAGGTGCACAGTGGTGCTACCGAGGGAGACTCGTAACTAGACCGTGCTGGGACATGTGCCTAAGACGCGGGAGGGCAGGGTGCCACAGAAGGGTTGGGCAGGCTAGTGAGCAACAGGAACAGGACGGGGCGACCTCAGCAGACGCAACAACTAGCTGTAACTTGGTGTGCAGTGTGAAGAGATCAGATTCAGAGTCATGCTCAAAAGTGGCTAGGTGGCGACGGGTGGCTGTGTTTGTGTCGCTAGCAGCTTGGGAATGTATTGGTGATGCCTCGGTCCTAGAGGTGACCGACACCCACTAAGTTCTTGGCAATTGAGGGGATGTGCAGACCCCTAAAGGAGCCGGAGGGGACAGCTGGACTGGGGAGTGTGGTGGTGGTGCGTACGATAGCTGTGGCTGAGGAGTCTGCTAGTGCGACGCGGACAGGTGAAGGAAGCGGGGTGAGAGCAGTACTGTCTCTAAAGAAGCAACGAGATGCGCCAGAGTCTAGGATAAAGGAAAGGGCGGATGTGGCGGGGCCCACTGAAGTATCTCTAATAGAGCCTACGCTTGACGCAGCAGAGGAGTCTACGCCTAGCGCAGCAGGGGATGCCAGACTCCATACAGCAGTGGCTCATAGGCTATAAACAGTAGGATAAGTAGAACTAGCAGTAGTAGAGTAATCAGTAGATAGAGAATACAGGGGGCTGAAATGGCGACGGTAGAGGTCGTCCAGGCGTCGGTAGCAGCGAGCGGAGGCGTGCTCCGTGCGCCCACAAACCGGCCTGGTCAGCTCCTGGTATGTGCAGGTCACCACGACTCCAGGACCACCAACTCCCTGGCTCATAGAAGAGCCACATGACCTCCAGGGTACCGACTGCCCTGGGGCCCAAACTCCACGGCTTCCACCACGATCACCACTTTCAAGGCCCGCCGGCCCCCACGGCAGTTGCGACTGCTGCTGCGCAGTCCCCAACCTTGACTGACCACCCTCTCCGTCTGCACCCGCACCCCCCCCACCCACTGCTGCCGACCCTCCATGGCCCTTGCCCACTTTGCCCTTGCCCTTGCCCCGCTGGCCCGAGGAGGATGCGGCAGTAGCCTCAGAGGCTGTCGCAAGCGAGGCAGAGGCGCTAGAGGCAGGGAGCTGGGGGGCAGAGCAGCCTTGAAAGACGGGGACTGCCACCGTGCCAGTGATGTCAGCGATGGCACGGAGGCGCGACTCAACCGTCGCCAGGGCGGAGGAAAACTCAGCGATAGTGAGGGAGATGGGGGGCACAGCGAGGAGCGCGTCTTGCACAGGGGCGAGACGGTCTTGGAGGTGTATGGCAAGGAGGCATATGGCAAGGAGGTACAGGGTGAGGTAGGTGGACGGAAAGTGGATGGTGCGGTGCTTCTCAAGGCAAGCTGTACGCCAGCGAGCCTCAAGGGTCTGGAGGTGTGCTACTAGGTTCACTATAGTAGTGAAGGAGGCTAGGTTAGACGACCAGACCACAGGGTGCCTGAGGACCAGACGACCTAGGGTGGCTGAGGACTGGGTGGATTAGCGAGCGACAACTGCATCCCAGATACCCTTAGCCATCTCGTACATCTCAAATTGAGTCTGCTCGTCATGGGGGGAGGGCCCTAGTGACTACCAGCTGCGCAGCTGCGTCGCGGAACTGTCAGACAGAGAGGGCGTCTAGGGCAGTCTCAAACTCAGTCTGCTCTGGGGACGATGCGTCAGCAGCAGGAGCAGCGGGCTCTGGGGGGGTAGCTAATGTACACGAAGTGTGGGCCACAAGTGCCTGGCCGTCCTGGCGGATGGACATGAGCTGGCGATGGAGAGCGAACAGCTAGGCCAAGAAGTAGAGCGTGCGACCCTCGACATCCAGGTGGACGACAGCGGCAGGCGTGGTCGCCACAGTGGCAGCTGGAGGTGACGAAGATCGCAGCAGGGATGGCAACGGCTACTGTAGCGGTGAGCTGCTGGAGATCGGAGTAGAAGTACTGTATCTAGTGGGCGGCAGTAGCGGTGCGGCAGCTGGCTGGCGAGCAGGCGGCTAGCCAGCGGTGAGCCAGTGGAGAGCCATCGGCGAGCTGGCTGGTGGCGACGGCGGCGTGGCTGGCGAGCGGGCAGTGGCGAGGAGCGGAACGGCTGGCGTGGTTAGCGCGGGCTGACGCGACTGGCGTGGGCGGCGCGGCTGGCATGGGCTGGCACGAGGAGGAGCGGTGCGGCTGTCGCGGCTGGCGAGGAGCGGGGCGGCGAGCGCAGCTAGCGGTTGGCGCGGCTAGCGGCTGGTGGGCTGGCACGGCTGGCGTGGGAGGCGCGGCTGGCGCGGCCTTTGCAGGCTAGTACGACGAGGAGCGGTGCGGCTGGCGCAGATGGCAGGGAGCGGCGCGGGCAGCGCGGCTGGCGCTGGCTGGCGCCGGCGGCGCGGCTGGCGCTGGCTGGTGGGCTGGCACGGCTGGCACGGGTGGCGCGAGGCTAGCGTGGGCTGGCGCGGCGGGCGTGGGCTGGCGATGGCTGGCGCGGCACGGCTGACGGCTGGCGCGGCGCTCGGCCCAGCAACGCAACCGCTAGGGGCGGCTAGGGGCGGCTAGGGGCGGATAGGGGCTACGGGGCTAGGGGTGGAAGCGTGGGCAGGTGGGAACTAACCTAGCTCTATATACCATGTTAGAATAACGAGTATGAATGAACTAGACAGTGGGAGGGGAGATACAAATACAGGGAATTGTACCCTCTAAGAGCT